CAGCCGCTGTTTCAGGGCTGTGGAGTGACAGAGAGGAGGTAAAGCACTGAGGTGACGGTGGTAACACATTATGGATGGTACCCAGGCCAGCACAGTGTGTCTGCACTGCAGCACTGCACAGCGCACCGTGGCAAGGGGCATTGTGCACATACAAAATGGTCATATTTTATTCTGTAGGGGGTTAATAAAGGCTGTTGGTCAATAATATTGACCAACCAATTATGTTGCCAGCTGCTAGACCTGTGGAAGCTGCTAGACCTGTGGAAGCCATTTTATTTACTTTGCGTGTTTGTGTTGTCAGTCAGTCAGTGAGATGGGACAGGAGCTGACAAAAAGCTGTTTTTGATTCATCATGAACATACAAACCCATCACTGGGGTCAAGCTTACATAATATTACTTCACTTCCCATAATGCAATCTGTATCTATGTATGAGTCACATTTTCACATTATGTGAAAAGGAACCGAGTCAGCCCAGCTGGGTGATGTTCCCTGAAAAGTCACAAAATTACAGTTTTTTCTCTTTTCTCTAAAAATCTGGGACAGAAAGTTTTCTTTCTTCATATTACTTTTTTTAAACATAAACATTTGAATGTACTGACACAACAATTATGCTTACCTTCGATTCTTTTCTGCTTTTTGTAGTATAAATTTTTTTGTCTTACCCTCCATGAAGGAGCACTTTGTGTGCAGCAGTGATCCCAGCAGCTCAGCTGGCACTTTGCTCTTCTATGTCGTCTCCCAAGGCAAACTGGTCCTGGATGAGGAGACAGACTAGTAGCCCTTTTCCATCAGTACCTACTCAGATCGGCTCAACATGACTCGTTTTCCATTACAATTGAGTACCGCCTAATGTGCATGGTGTCATTATAGGCTGAAAGTCCTGTGACGTCATTTGTTTACGACATAAACGCCATAACAAAGGAGGCGATGGTGTACCTGCTGCTCGGTGTACAGGCGCAGTGATGACGGTGCTGGGTTTGTTTGTAGCCTTTTCCCACTTGTGTGGTTTCACAAATGGCAGAAGAGATTTGTTTGAGCCAAACAGAAGGAATGGACACTAGACCAGTGGAAACCTGTGCTTTGGTCTGATGAGACCAAATCTGACATCTGTGGTTTCACCTGCCGTGTCTTTTTGTGACACAGTAAGTAAGTAAAGTTTATTTATTGAGCGCTTTTCATAGACAGGCAGTCACAAAGCGCTGCACAAAGAGATTAAAATAAACAGTACGATAAATAGCAAAATGCACAATATACACAATATAGAGTTTAAATGTAAATTAAAATATAAGAATGTAAAAAGCATTGGTCAACAGAAAGCTTGTTTAAACAGTAAAGTTTTTAACTGTTTTTTAAAGGATTCCACAGAGTCAACCAAACGTAGTTGTAGAGGTAGACTGTTCCACAGCCTAGGTGCCACAGACTGAAAGGCTCCGCCCCCTTTCATCTTCAGACGTGTTCTGGGAGCAACCAACAAACTCTGAGTCTGTGAGCGGAGACGGCGAGCAGCAGTGTATTTAGTGAGAAGCTTGGATAAATAATCTGGGGCCATTTAGTGCTCTGTACGTTAAAACAATGATTTTAAAACGAATTCTAAAATCTATTGGGAGCCAATGTAAAGAACATAAAATAGGAGTGATGTGAGCTCGCTTGCTAGAGCGAGTTAGTAGTCTGGCTGCTGCGTTTTGTACAGAGATGATTTATCCAAGCTGGTAAACAGGGAATTACAATAATCTAAACGCGATGACACAAATGCATGGACAATTTTTTCCAGTTCAGCTGAGGAGACCATATGTCGCAGTTTAGAAATGTTCCTTAAATGAAAGAAACAGGAATGAGACAGAGATTTTACGTGTGAGTCAAGGCCCAGAGAAGAGTCAAATATTACTCCAAGATTTGGAATATTTGGCTCAGCAGAAGAACAGAAAGGGGCAAGAACCGGAATGATCTTATAATATAGATCAGGAGGAGCTATGATCATGGTCTCGGTCTTGTTCATGTTTAAAACAATTGTTAGAAAGCCAATCAGAGATTTGAGTTAAAGCCTGGACTAGGGTGGACAGCCTATCCAGCTGATGAGGCTTAAAGGACATATACAGCTGAATGTCATCGGCATAGAAATGATAAGACCACCAATGATAAGTCACCAAAAGACTGAATAATGCAGCTAAAGGAAGCATATAAAAAGAAAATAACAATGGACCCAATACTGAACCCTGTGGAACCCCGCAGGTTAGGGCAGCAGTGTTAGAGGAGTCCTAACAGAAAAGGTCCTGTCTGATAGGAAGAAAACCAGTCTAAGGCGGTGTCAGATATACCAGCCAGAACCTTCAGCCTGTTGAGTAGGATTTTGTGGTCGATGGTATCGAAGGCTGCGCTAAGATCTAGCAAAATGATCACGGAACAGGTGAACGATGGTCTCTACATTCATGGATCGAAGGCTGCGCTAAGATCTAGCAAAATGATCACGGAACAGGTGAACGATGGTCTCTACATTCATGGTTCCCACCGTGAAGCATGGAGGAGGAGGTGTGATGGTGTGGGGGGGGGCTTTGCTGGTGACACTGTTGGAGATTTATTCAAAACTGAAGGCACACTCCTTCCAGACTGTTGGAAACCATTTCAGGTGACGACCTCATGAAGCTCATGGAGAGATTGTTGGGTTTTTCTCTGTATGTATTATTGTAGGGTCGACCTTATAATATAAAGCACCTTGAGGCGACTGTTGTTGTGATTTGGCGCTGTATAAATAAAACTGAAGTGAATTGAATAGAAACAATGATAAATGCATGGATGCTTGATACTAAGATCTCAGTCATAATATCCAAATACACACCAGCACTGCCACAGTGTTGTTTTAGTCAGCTCCAAACACACCACACACACACACACAGACAAGCACACACACACACCACACACACACACACACACACACACACACACACACACACACGACAAACGACACACAACAGCACACACGACACACACACAACACACACACACACACACACGACAAACAGCACACACACCGCACGCGCACACACGCACACACACACACACGCACACACACACACCCACGCACACACACACACACACCCACACACACACAACCACCACTCACACACGACTCACACACAGACACACACACCCACACACACACACACACACACACACATTGTTACTCAGCTCAGAATTCAGCTCAGTTCACATAATGGTGAAGTGAACAAAGACAGTGTGTGCTGTTTTCTGTGTGAGGCTCCACTTTGACCCACAGATGTCAGTGACTCCACTGCCCTTCTTCTTCTTCTTCTTCTTCTTCTTCTTCTTCTTCTTCTTCTTCTTCTTCTTCTTCTTCTTCTTCCCTCTGAAGTTTTTCCTCTGTCTCTCTCTCCGAGATGCCTCTGTGTCTCTCAGCCATTGTCTTTTGTTCACATTTGATTTCCAGGTGCTACTGGATTACAATGTTGACATTTCAGGTTTGGACTTTTCCTTTAAATATAAGCTAATCTGACCAACTGCAGCTCAAGCACCTTTTGCTTAGTCTGGGTTCAGATTTTCCTTCAGGGCTTTACAGGATACTGACAGCCTAATTCCATAAAAACAGCAAAATTATTGAATTTGGTAAAGAAAAAAAATGAATAAACAAGAAATGAAATAAGATAAATTACAAACACCATAAGATTCCTATAAACAGTTAAAGGGTCGATTTTAAACTTGTATTTAAAGTGTAAAGCTGTTTTCTGATTCTTAGGTCAGCCAACCAACAGCTAGAAGCCTGAAACAAAATGTTGCTGGACTGAAGGGCCATCGTGATTTTTAGATTACACTCGGACAGATCCTCCACACTGTGGAGAGATTACATCTTAGCTAGCCTGGGAATCCCTCAGTATCAAAGGCAGTGGAAGACAGTCTGGCATAACTACTCAGACTGCTGAATCACCCAGATGGACGGGTCGACGGCCGGGTAATTGTGTAGCATACGGGAAGTCCTACAAACTGAAGGGCCTTTAGACAATCCAACAACTACTTTAGCTAGCTGTGAACTCTCACTCTGAAGAACTTGTAATCTCAGCTACCAGTTAAGAGCGACACTGAGAGTGCCGAGAAAAAATGCTTCTACTGATTCCAAATATTATTATGAGATACTGCAGTTTTCACAGGGAAAAACCTCAGAGGGAAGAGCCATTTTTATATAGTTTATTTTTAGAGCAAGGCCTACATGCTTTAACACAGTCAAATATTTAGATATTTAGTTCATATTTAAACAAGAAGAGAACTCCCAAATGCCACACACATAAACACACACACACATATACACTCAAAGACACGCAAAACACTCCAGTGTTCCAGACAGCCGTGATCAATTAACTGATTATTATTATCACTGAGGCTATTAATCACAGTCTGTACTGATCAGGCTGTCCTGTTCTTTCAATCAGGTCTTACATACACCACACCTTGAAACAGGTGTGTGAAGGAAGGAGTGAGCGCACACACACACACACACACACACACACACACACACACACACACACACACACACACATAGGTGCCGCTCACTGTAAATGTTCGGCCTATTTCAGTTTACTGCATAGAGTTGGATGAATGCAGAGCTTACACTCTGCAGTCCTCTGATATGTGCTCACCTGAGTTAGTCGATTAGCTGTTAATGAAAAATTCCTGAATTATGAATCCATTTATGAAACCTAGAATCCAAAGGAGTGAGTTTGTGGTTTCATCTCAAAGGGTCAGTCGGTCACTGCTTGTCAGGCAGCCACACATCCAAGACTAAAACACGATTCAGATTATTCTAAGCTTTAGTGTTTCAACAGCATTTATTGGCTCGTGGTGTATTAAAGTTTTTAACACGGTATGTAAGAGTGTATAAAATGCACTGAACACTTGAGCTCTTCACGTTTTGTTGAAAAAAACAGAAATACACTAAAAGAAAGCAGCAGAAGGTCGTCATTAGTTTGCTGTATGTGCTGTAATGATTTCAATGTACACTGAAAAAATGGGAATTGGCAGGCTTTTGAATTTGCACAAATGAATTTAGTTAATGCTACACAAGCCTTTCATGTTTCTCTTATTTACATTATTAAATAAAGTACCATTTACTTGATTATAAACAATACTGAGACTACTCATTTTTCTTGCATTGATTTAAAGTGACTAAATTAGAATACTAAAACCATTGTAATCATGTTTGACCACAACCGGAAATGATGCAATATATTCAAAGACAACAACTAAATATGATTGGATAATAAGACCTAGAGTCTTATCCAATAAGACAACAACATAATTTAAGGAGAGCGCAATTGACCGCCAGATTCTGGAAGACTGTTCAGCCACATGCAACCTTTGGCACTGAGTCAGGCATAGTGAGAAGGTAAGTAATTTAAATACATTTGTTTTAGTTGGGTACGTTTTCACAGAATTGTTGTAGTGCATGCTATAGAAAAGTAATCTGTAATGCATCTACATGTTGTTTTTACAGTGCTAGCTAAAGTTGGTATTAGCTTTGTGGCTAAAGCTGAAAAATATTAACAAATTGCACATAGTCGGGAGAAAGCAGCTGTTGTCGGTCAGATATGGAATTTATGCATGTGACAGAGAGCACTGACGTTTTTGATGGCTTAGCAAGTTAAAACGTCACTGAGAGACGCAATAGTGTTTGTGTTACTCGTGCTAGTTATGGCTACAGTGGCTAATTAGTCCGGCTGTAACCGTCAGAGTTTAAGAAGCTGGGAGCCCCACAGTGCCATACCTTAATTCTTGCTGCTGACACGCACTCAAGTTATAGGATCCTGCCACCTTAGACGTGGGTTTAAGAACCTGTGCCCATAAATGCCAAATCATTTTTCCATTTAGTCATTGTTTTAGGTGAAGTGTCACTTACTTGACTATTCTATTGGTCAAGCCCAAATAATACAGCAGATATCTACAAGGAGATAAGTTTGTTCAACAGAGTATGTCTTATTAAGTGATGTATTGTGAATTTTCCAACATCGTCCTAACAAAAATTAGGACCCCCCCCCCCCCCTTTTTTTTTTCTACTTTGTGTAGAACATATGTGAGCTGCTTCTCAAAACATTATGTATAAATGAGGGAAAGATTGGTACTTTAAAGAAACCATTGATGCTCTTCTGGACTGGAATACCTTTTTTCAATTAAAATTAATGTTTTTTGTGATGGTGGAATTTTTACCTTTATGATTACAGAAGTCAAAACATCAGATGATGATAGCTTACCATCTAAACTCCCCATCTCTTGGCAATTCTGAATTAGAGGGCTCAGCTGTATCGGCCTTTCTAGTGGATTTAAAGAGTTAAAGAGGAGATAGCTTAAGTCATTAGGTACATATTCCCTGACATTCTAGAGGTCAACCTTGCACAGTGTGTGACATTAAAGGGCATAACTTATAGAAATGGAATGGTACTGGCCCAAAGGGCAGCAGGTGGATTGCCAGAATACTGAAAAACCATATCTGCATTGTACCACAGCATATTCTACATTGTCAGAGAGCTTGGTGGCTGGTACAGAGAGCACGACAGCTTTTGAGCTCAGCCCAGTATCCACAAGAATATTCACTCTCATTTCACTCTGTGAACTCCTTGATACTTATCCATTGGTTGACTATGAGATTGGATCAGTCCACATTGTGACTTTAAAAGGCATATAGAAATAAAAGGTGTTCATATAAGTGTAATAGGTTCAGTCGCATGTATTTCATTAGATAAATTCTTCTTTTTTTATGTCTGATCTTTATAACTTTGACTATTGGGTATGGATAGCTTTATGAAAACTAAACTGAAAGGATTCTTTCTGAATATGTAATTCTTTTTTGCCTACAGAGTCCTATGGGGAGTCCTATGGTCCTAAAGACTGTTTTGGCTGACGGAACCTGTCGAAGGCTCACTCTCTAATGGAGCGCCTGAATCAACTGAGGATCTCATCGTTGAAGTCAAGAGACAGTGTTGTCTTCAGGGCAGTTTCAGACTTGGACATAAAAAAGAGTAACAGAGTTGGTGAAACTCAAGATGGAAAAGACTTTTTCATACAGAAGACATGAAGGTGTTCGTGATGCACCAATGGTGGAGGCTTTCATGGCAAGATGGCCTGCTCTAATTGATTTCCATGAGGTAAGGTTTGCCTCATACACGGTGTTCTTGTGGTATTAGCCTAAAATGGTTAAGGCACAGTTGTTATTTGACAGCCCATTTCTTCAGCATGAGTGATTGCAGCCTTCTTCCAGGTATTAAACCTTTAAAGCTCATTCCTCTGTGCTCATGTTTTCAGATCAACGCTGAGTTAAGAGAATTGCCACCATCCCCCCTCAGACAAAGTTCCTGGCTCAGCTGGATCTCCACTTGGACAACCTGGTGAAGTTGGTCAACAAAGAGGAGAGCTTGGACTAATACTGAAAAGAATTGTGTGGATAATGTAAGTGATTAAGCCTCAACATTCACTTAACATGATCCTCTTTGGATGAAACTTTAAATTGTGGAAGATTTCAAATGTTTTCCCATGATAAATTCTCTCATTTTGTATTTTTACATCTGCTTGTTTTTTTAACCTTCACTTTGTCAACTTATTATTAATTGCCAGTAAACCTATTATTAATTTGTGTGCCTTTACTTTAAAAACATTCATGTAAAGTACACTATTAAAACTTAAATGAAGGACAAGAGCTGAATGAAGATGCTAATTACATACATTTCATTTCAGTGTGAAGATGTTGATGCTGAACGTGAGTGTGTCAAGGGAGTGTGTATCTACATGGGTGAAGACCCTGGCATGCTTATCCGGGAGTATGTGGTATGTACTTGTCTTTTTTTTTTTTTTTTTTTTCCGACTTTCCACAGTGTCATATTATTTACTTGGCATGAAATGACTAACATGGCTTCTTTTTTTACAGGGCATGGAAGAACGTGCCATCAGTGAGACTGTTGAAGACACCACTGTTTGAATTTATCTTCTTAAAGAGCAAGCTTCAGCAGATGAACAAGAGTTGTCCTTGCAGGCATCAGGGTGGCGAAGAATTTGGATAATGTAGCATTTGCTGTGATAATGCTATTTGGACTCATGTATGCATTAAACCTTGCCTACCCTGCGGACCTTCGCTACAACTTTGAGTTTTCCAGAAGGTTTTCATGGAACTGGATGGAGCTAAACTCTCTAAAGTTCTTGCTTTCAAAAACCATCTGTTTCATTGAGAAGTCAAAGACTGCACTTCTGCAATTCTTTGCAGTTTTTCATTTTGTGTTCAGTAACGTTATACTGCTTATGTTTTTATTGCTTTCCCCTCATGTGACTGCAATGCAGGATGATTTTTCCTTTTGGTATCATGTTGTAAGAAATTTTTACTGACGATTTTTAGCAATATGTTCTAAGTCAACCTTAATGTCCTGCTTACATGTTTAAAATGAAGATTAAAATTCATGTAGGTGTTTGGTATTAGTTATGTAACAATGTCATTTAAGGCTCAACTTATTTGAAATCTTGTACAGGTAAATACTTGTACAGAAGCTGAAACTGTTGTCAAATAATACACAAGTTATATTTGTGTAAATCTGTTTATTCATAAAAGCGTGTTGCTTTTTTTAGGTAGTCTTAATTTAGTTTACATTTTCAATTGTGTAATTAATACAAATGTTATATGTAAGAGATGACAGGATCATCTATAAGCACTTTCTTTTATTTGCTGCTAAGGTCAGTTTTTTGTGAAATATTTGCAAATATATTCTCAAACTAACTTTTTCTTTTAGTTATTTCTGCAGGCTATCTTTAAAAATGTGTTAACAAGTTTATATGGATGTGATTTTGGACTTGTTCATGGCAGAATTGCTGCTTTCACTGCTGTTACAGTTTAATAAAGGTGAATTGTTCAGTAGCACTCACAGTCTTTGCCTTTTTTGTCAATAATGATCAGTTAATATTTCAATTGAAAAAATTAAGTAGAGATTTAAAGCCATAAGTTGCGTTGCAGGAACATAATTGCAATGTGTTTACATTACATAATATCATTGCATACCACTGGCAAATAAAAATAAGTTGGTGTTAAACATTAAAATATATTGACATTATGCAATACATTGATATTATGATAACAGATTAATATTAGTACATCAAACATGATTTTTTTAAGTAATCTGATGTAAATAAAATACTTTGATTTGACAAGCATTAATTACTTGAGGGAAAGTGGAAAATTAAGTCAGTCATACTTATTCATATTATGTGGGACCGATGTACACAATAAAATCAAGTAAATTGAAAGAACTTTTTTTTTCAGTGTAATCAAAGCATCACGAATGTCAGCATCACTGAGTCGATGTTCTTTGAATCCTTGTTTACGTTTTTTTAAAGTTATTAAAAAGCTACATTGTTTTCTTTCTTGTTCACCTCATGAATTATTTACTTGCTTCTCCTAAGGTGAGAGGTCAGTACAACCCCGCCCTCCACGCCGTCAGTATTTTCAGTAGAGATGTGTCGGTCGTGAACGAGACGGATCTTTGAAGTGAACGACACGAGCCGGCTCCTTATCGCGAGCTGTGGGGGTTTTTTTCTTTCTCTCACCCTCTCTCTCGCACTTTTTTCCGCTTCACTCCGCACGAGCCTTGTGCTTTGCACTGGGCAGAGGGGGGAGGGGCGGTAGTTACACTCGCAGTAGCACAGGAACAGAGCGGGAGGAGAGAGAGAAAGAGAGCCAGGGACAACAACGTCACATTAGAAAGGTATAGTAATCATCCACAACTATTTTCAGTTGCAGATGATAAAGGATTCAGAAAGTTTATTCATGCAGGCTCCATATGACAGAGAATGTGCATCTTCTTTTTGTTTTCATATTTTAATTTATATTTAATTGTGTTGTGGTTTGCAGTGTTTTGTGTTGTTTCACTTTAAATTTGTAAAAGGAAAAAGCTGAAAATTTAAATAGTTAAAAGTTGAAATGTGAATAGTTGATTTTTGTATTATATGATTTATTTATTACATTTTATGTGGAGTGAATAAATAAAAGTATATTTACGGTGGCCCCTAGAGACAAAGCACGTACAAACTCCAAAACACGTACAAAACACAACAGAAGTGCTCCAGGATGCTAGGGGCAGTGTTGAGCTTTTGTTACCTAGTGGCTACACAAGCCAGGAAGTACCAACGACCGGATTTGGTGTGTGGTAGTAACAGGTAAATGAACATTTTTTTTAAATTATTTGAATATATATGAGTGCTTGTGTATAAATACACAAACAATACACATCTTTCATGCTTTCAATTGTGTAATTTAAGTGATCTAGGTAGCTCTGTTTTGGAAGTTCAGTTAACGCTAGAAATGTGTTTTGGAGTTTGTACGTGTTTTGTCTCTAGGGGCCACCGATATATTTATATATAAACATATATAAATAAAACCACTTTTTTTTACATTAGTAATTCCTTTTGTGCATAATTTTATATTATTGTTAATAATAAATTAATTAAAGCAACAAAACAACCTGAAGAGCCGGTTCAGGAGCCGAAAGAGCCGGCTCTCTAAAAAGAGGCAGAAATCCCATCACTTTCGTGTGGTTTGTGTTTCAGAGGCAGAGAGTAGCTGAGGTCTCCACCCCAGTAATCGCACACCTGACCCTCATACCTAAGACACACCTGCACGTTGCCCTTGATACAAAAGGCTGGAGTTTTCCCTCTGTTAATGCCAAATTGTTACACTACATGTGGTATAAAAGCGTGGCTCCCTCATTGTTCGTTATCTGCTGTATGTGTGCAAACTCACCTTGATCTTCTCTGTCCAGCCGCTGTGGAGAGCAGACCTGCTCGGGAGATATTCAGAAAGGGGAGAGACGCTTGTGGAGATAACTCGCCTGCTCCCTGCTCAGCCTTTGTTCGAGAGCTGCTGCTGGATTGCTGCTGCTTTTCCCTGAGGAGACTGTGCTTTGAAAGCTCTGTTGACAATAAACATCTTTTAAACGCGCCTGTGTGCGCTGCGCTTGTGTCCAGGTTTTCCACGAGAGCTTAACACTTGAGCAGGAGGCTGTTTTAATGACTCACACATGATTTACTGAGGTTTGTAGAAGGCAGTCCATAATTATTTGGACAATGACAAAATAATTGTATGTTTTCCTTGGCACACCACTGTAACTATGTATAAAAATGGTTAATTCCTAAACAGTGAATGCTGTACTTTTGGTGAACCTATTGAAGTAACGCTGAAAGTTTAAATCCACTCTGGTGGTGGACTTATACTGAAGCGGTGATAGTTACAGGAGCACTACTTAACTTATTCTGTTAATGTCTTCTTCCTGTGGTTTCCAAATCTTTAAAATGTAATTGGATGCTTGCACATGTATACCATTTCTTTTGCACAATATTTAAAATGCTGACCTCTGTATATTTTACATATATGTATACACGCACACACACACACACACACATATATATATATATATATATATATATATATATATATATAATCCAGATATATAATCTCTCCAGTAGTGCTATATATATTATATATATATATTTGGCATACATATTAGTCATGTGCATCCTTAAAATTGTACATATATTCATTCTTAGAATTCTCACATTCCTGCTCTTATATGTGGCTTGTTTCAATTCAATTCAGTGTACCAGCACATGTGACGTGACAATAAAACGAGTGCTGTCAGCGTTAATCTCATTAAAATGACGTTAACGCTATAACTGCATTAACGCGGAAAATCTCTGTTAGCGAGTTATCGAGGATCGCCCCGTGCGTGGGGCTGCACAGCGTCAACGCATCAGCGCTGACAGCACTAAATAAAAGTGATCTGACATATCGAGTTATAGCAATTCCAATTTGGTGAATGAAAACGGTGAATATGAAAATATAGATGGTTTTAAGAGTGGGCTGCACAGATTCAAAGGTATATCTTTTCTCTTGTGTAACCTCCTCTTGCAGCACGATCACAAATGCAGTGATTAAAAGTGTCAAAGTTGTGCCGCGGCAGCGTGTTACATCATGCCAGATGCAGACAGGGAGGGAGCTGCATTGTGATCTCCAATCACTGCCTGTTTCCTGACTGCTCACCTCATTTCAGGCACTTGCCTCTCACTGCAATAATATTCTTTTTGTTATTCTCTCTCTTTTTTTCAATTAGAGTCAATTGACCTGACAGAATTGCCGGCAATTAAGTGATTTTTGTAATGGTCCTGGGCTAATTTGCCTGGGCTTGTCAGCTGTATTTTATGTCACCAACCCCCTACCTCACTTACTCTCTCCAGCACATAATGACTTATAATTTCAAAATCTTTACTCTCCGCTTCCTTCTCAATAAATCGCAATTACAGGAAGTTGTTATAGATGCCTAAACTCCACACCGCCTCCGCTACAACCCCCATCTCTTTACTTTGTGCCGTCAGAGATGACAGAGTGGTGGAGGAAATCTATTTGTTTGCAGAGCCTTAATATAATCGCATTTCATGTGTGTACACTGAGTCCAACTCTCCTGGGCTCCACCACAGAGAGAAGTTTACTTTCTCCACACTGCTCATTAAGAGTATGAATTTCTGGCAGCTGGTCTTTGGATGGAATATCTTTTATTTTCTCCTGAATGGAGAGTTTTAAAAGATGTTTTATTTCCCCGAGAGCATCTAATCCATGGATGCTGCTGAAGATTTCAGGCTGTGCCGAACATTTTCAGAAAAACAAAAAACTAAAGGTCAGCTGACAAATTCTGTTTCCTTTTAGGTCACAAGGGTTAAGAGCCCTGACGGCACCTTGGAGAGTGATTTTTCCCCACTTCCACTCACCCAAATCACTTTGCTCCCGTTTGCGCTCATTCGCCAAACTCGAACCTGCCACCACGCTTCAAGTTTTCATAAAATATGTAAATGACTTCATATGAAACACCTTTTTCCTGACTATATCCAAGCTCAAACACACCTCCCACACGAATGCGTCGCCCTCCACACCCAACACGATTCATCTTTTTACTGAGCAACTCCAGAGCTGAGCATCTGCTTGCCTCCAGAACACTCCATTGATCTCCCTTCCACTCACTCCAGACTACACAACCACACATCCTTTGCCCAAATCGAGAGAAACAGTAGGGACTGAGAAAATAACTCCTAACATCATATCAGTTATTTTTTTACTATATATAACTATCAAGTATAAATACTAAACCATTTGAAAATTGACTGAAAATTCTGCAAGTTGTAATTATTTCAAGGTTCAAGGTTCAAGGTTCTTTATTTGTCACATGCATAGTTATACAAGTATAACACACAGTGAAATGTAGCCTGACACGCTCCTCGACATGTGCAAAGAATTGGGGGGGGGGGGGGGTGTAGAGGAAGAACATTATAATATATATATACACTGGGTGAATGTGCAGTAGTAGCAGCAAGCAGGTGAATTCTGTACATTAATATGAATAGATCTGACTATTTTACAGGATAGACAATATAAACATATTTAAAATTAAAGGAATTGAAATGTACATTGTGCCTGTTTAGTGTCTGGAAGAGGTCCTGTCTCAGTCAATTATAGATGTGTGTCAGCTTTGCAATGTAAAGGACTTCAGGGAGTATCAGCCAGAGGCCCAAACCGCTGTGAGCATGATGGGAACTTATTTCTCACAGTAAGTAAGACAGTCCTATTATTTTGCATCTATAACATTTTAAATGAGTGCATTTGCTTATTTTTTTATAATGTTAATAAGAACAAAACTGTGTTTCCTAATAAACAGCCAGCAGGTGAAATAAAGGTGTCACTTAACAAGAAGCAAATAACACTGAGCTTTAACCAATTATCACAATCACACACACACTTTAATATGAGCTGCTATCTGTGTGTGTGTGTGTGTGTGTGTGTGTGTGTGGTGTGTCTGTGTGTGTGTGTGTGTGTGTGTGTGTGTGTGTGTGTGTGTGTATGTGGTGAGCTGTGTGGGATCAGATCCTGAGGGGTACTGTAGCCTCAGACTAACGCTCCCC